AGTCTGGCAGCGACCTGAGCAACCCTGACAGCACAGACGACACAGCTTGGAGATTCCTGAGTGGTGGTAGGACCTAAGAATTAACCCAAAAATCACCCTGCTAGCCAGGGACTGCACGGAGGACTGTGCACGGTGGCTGGGGAAAAAATGGAGAAGGTGAAGGGAAAGATGGACTAAGCTGTGGACTTTTGCTGGTCCGGAAGGCACCGCCATTTTGAAGGTTTAAAAAGTGGCTTGACTATTTTGGATATTCAGAGAGACAGTGCTCTCGCAGATTTCTGGGGCTTAAGAACACGTTCTGCTTTCCAGCAACCCCAAGGACACTCGGGGCCTGCAACACTGAAAAGTTACGACATTCTTCTTGTTACTACACCCTACACCCGCTTGGTGAATGAGGTGTGGCCAGCCCCACTCCCACCTACCTTCTGGGCCCACAGGAACTCCATCACAGTCTGTGTGCTCAGACAGAGCCTGGGTGCCCTACCCAGTTGCAAAAACGGTAAGGAGGCCACATGTTCCAACCTCCTCTAACCTTACAAGAGGAAGACAGGATTACCAGCAGTAACCCAAGGCCTATTCCTACAAGGCCATATGTGCTGCCTCCCTCCAGCCCTTTCACCAACTGTTCCTCCCAAAGCACCCACCACCTCTCTCCTGGGTTCGATAGTTAGCTGCAGTGGCCACACAGAGCTCACAGATTATGGGGTTTATTAGGGAAGCGCCAGGCTACAACTCAAGTTCAGGAAAAATGCTCAGTCTCTCTCCCAGCCCACCATCCCTCAGCCAACAGTCTCTCACAGTCTCTTTCCCAGCAGTGCTGGTCCCTCGGTGTCTCACTCAGCAATGCGTGTCTCTTGCGTCTCTTTCCCAGCAACTCATGTCTCAGGAGCCCGTGTCTCTTTCAGTAGCACGTCTTCCTCCACCAGCAGTCAGAGAGAGTTCTGCCTCTAGAAGGCCTCCTTTTGAGCCTGGCAGGGTGGTCAAACTAGCCAATCATAGCATCAGAACGCTAAGCACTTGAGAGAGAGTGGGCACCTCCCAGAACATTGTTTTGTGCCACACCCAACAGAAATACTCCAGGTGGACAATTTCAGCAATCAGGAGCTCCTCAGTTTCTCATAGAAAATCCCACATTGGAGTTTACAAAGACTTATGGGTAGAAAAGCCACACTAAGTAATTTACTATACCACACCAGTCCTCCACCGATTTTTTCTTTTTCTTTTCTTTTTCGCTTTCTTTTTGCTGGTGATTAGTTTGCTTGTATTTGTCCGTTTCAAACCAATATTATTAATAACTTTTGTCCTTTTTATTATTATTCTTAATCTTCCCCTACCAGGCGCTAGTTTTCAGCATTTTTTTTTTTCTTTTCCCTGTGCCTGGTTGAAATTCTGCC